ACTTGCAAAAACATTATAGAATCAGAAGGCTAAACTGATGTAATTTATTGCTTTCACGAATTCTGAAAAATACAAACCAATAATCACAAGGAGTACACTAATATATTATAAGATATAAATAAAGTCTGAATGAGGGCACTAATCTAGAATAATGTTCCCCAGACAGTTACTGCATGAAATAACTCTTCACTCAATTAGTACGAATAAATTGTACATGTATTGTGATCATTCAATTGGAGCAAGGAGCACATGGCACTTGTAGGCCTACCCTCTATTTTGTTTTTAATCCAATATAGCAAAAATGACAAAGGATCTAATGAATGGCAGGTGACAAAAAATGGATTCAAAATCTCTCTCCTGCTCACACAACCACAATTTGCCTTCCTCTGGCCAACATTTTTCCCATCTTTAATACCTTTGAACAATTATGAGAATAACTTTTTTTTTGGTGTCTTCCATATCCTGTAAATCATAACAAATGGTCTTAAATGGTTACTATCACCCTTTTGAGAGGGAGGACTTAGTACGTGTAATATGCCCTATTGGGCATTGTGGAGAAGGTCCCCCATCTCAATGTGCATTAAAACCTAAAATAAAAAGGTTTTACTTGCCTGAAATCTAGCGGCGGGCGAAGCTTTTAGCACCCTTCTTCGCTCTCCTTCTTAAAGTCATTGGGACTGTGCACAGGCCTCTCATTGAGAAGCCTGTTATTGGACTAGTTCGCCAGCTCAGAGCGCATGTGCGCAATCCGGGCTGGTGAGGTGAGGGTAGCATGTGAGGCAGAGGAAAGGAGTGGGGAAGGTTTATTTAAACAAACAAAAACACTCTCTGCCTGCAAGGGGAAGATTTTCACGTCTGTTGAAAACGTGCTGTTCTAGGTGAAACTAGCCCCTGGCACATAAATATCTCCGTATTTGCAGTGTTTCAAACTGAAACACTGCGCCTACGGAGTCCTACCACCATGACTACTTCAAATCACTGAATAGAGTTCCTTTAACTTAAAAGGGCCTTTTAAGCACCTTTACAACTATATCTCAATTTTAATGGTTTTAATATAAAGTCCCTGTTCTCCTGGGTTTGTATCACAGTCCCCAGCTATCTGCTATCTACTACTAATCTCCTGTTATATACAATGTTATCATACAAATTACCAATGAACTCATTCTTTTTGCATGTACTGAGACAAGAAACAAGTGAACCAGTGATAATTTAGATTTTAATAGTTACTTTTGTAGAAATGGTAGTCTTAATACACATGTAGGCAAGATTACAGATCAGTAAGGCTGCAACTTGTAAGCTATTTTTCTTATATTTAGTTCTCATGGTTTTTTGGGGTTTTTTTTTTCCCATTAGTGTACTTTTATTTATTTTTTTGTCTTTTGTAAATAGTGCTTCCAACACCTTTTTGTTACAGTAGCCTTCGGTATGATTGCCAACAACATGTCATGTACATCTTCCTGCGTTACAATAAATATGATCATTATTTTGTCAAAATCAGTTCAAAAGCTCGACAGGAAAAGAACTGTGTCATTCTGATGACAAGAAATTACTAGCGAAAAAAAATAAAAAATCTCAAATAGCTGGCCTGTATCTAGAATTGTACTCTCTAAAAGCATTTGCGATAGAATAAATGATATACATAAAATGGAAAATTTCGCTTGTATCCATGGAGATTACATTTTTTAAATGCTCACACTATTATTGAGTTCATTTAACATGGAAAAACTGGGTTCAAAGCACCTGCTGGTGAGGTTTAAAGATCTAACTATCGTTAGAAATAAAAAGAAAGAATTAAGTGTGTAAGGCACTTCAGTGAAATGAAAGTAAAAACAATCCTGCTATATATATATATATATATATATATATATGTGTGTGTGTGTGTATGTGTATATATATGTGTGTGTACATATATATATATATATATATATATATAATTTTTTTTATTTTTTATTATATATATATATATATATGTGTGTGTGTATGGAGCCGAAACGTTGTTTTTGTTCTGCACTTTATAGTAAAACTGCCTACTGGAGAAACCACCAGGTGTGTCCTATCTACATTGTTCTACTGATATAATAAATAGCCTTTAGACTGGCAGCCTGCGTAAAGAGACCATAGAAGATATGTATGTGTATATCATGTCTGTATATACAATGTTAACATTACTACTTTGTTTGTCTATTAGGAAGCGTTGGAGTCCTGCCAGACACGAGTCTCTAAACTGGAGCTTCACCAGCAGGAACAATTAGCAGTACAGTCTGAAACCGTGAATGCCAAAGTACTCCTGGGGAAATGTATAAACATAGTCCTTGCCTTAATAACTGTTGTCCTGGTTTTTGTCTCCACTATTGCAAAATTCACGGCACCAATGATGAAGAGCCGCTTCCATATAATCTGCACATTCTTCGCAGTGACTATACTCGCAATACTTTGTAAGAACTGGGATCACATAGTGTGCGTTTTAGAACGCATCATCATGCCAAGGTGAACATAGTTATGTGCTCACGCATTTACCACCACGTTCATGGACTGGAAAAAGCCTCATATCAAAAAGTTTTCATCGACTAATTTTTCAGCTGTTTGGAATGTAGTTCCCAACCATATTCCCAGTAGACTGTTGTATTCCTTTATTTGACATGCTCACCTTTACATGTTGCCTTAACTGCATTTCTTCAATTAAACCACCGGTTGGGTTGTAGAAGTCACTAAAAGGTGGAGTTTTTAGGAACGATCTCAAGCTCACTACACAACCACTGTGCACCTTGTTCCTGAGACACCGACGTCTGGATTGCAGTGGATCTGGCCTAGCACAGTCTACCTGCATTGCGTTAAAGATTTCAAAGTGGAATCTTTACAGCCTGGCTTGGATCACCAAAACCAGGCCTTTTTTATTTTTATTTGTAAATAACGCACCTTTCTATTCTTGTGGATTCTGTAGGGGTAGCTTTTAACCCACTGACAGCATCACATTTTTACCCCCAAATGAACAAGAACTGGGCATTTGACTAAAGAACCAAACACCCACATTTATTGAATGTCATTTAAAATATATTTTCTGAACTGTATAGATGAGCAGCTGAAATTGGTATGTACCTGGGGGTAACACGGACATAGAAGGAACCAGAAATAAAAGAAATAAAATAAAATAGTGGTTTACTAATCACATGTATATCTGTTTCTAGGTAAATATAGAATACTTTCAATTAATCTATTTTTTTTTTTATAAAGTGTGATATAAAAACAGTTTGTTCATTTTTGTTTTCATTCCGAATAAAGCACTATACAGTGTGGTTATCTGCCAACACGTAAAAAAAACAAAAAAAAAACAGATTTTACTTAAAATATGTTTTGTAGCAAATGATGCCCATCTGTTTAGTGCTTAAGCCACATCTTCACTGCTAATCGTCGGCTAAAATACTTTGCATGCGTGGCGTGATATTTTGGCGTTTTATTTGTTTCTCTGGCGATATGCTGCTGTAGGGTAAGATTGATGAATAACTGAATTTTGTGGTATGAGAAAAAAAATATAGGATAATGTGTTTTTTTTGTTCAAAATGTAATGCTTGGGTAATACAAAGGATTGTGGAGTTGTCATGACAAAAATTTAATGTATGTTTGCGTCATGTCTATGTTGTCTTTTGTTAAGAGTATCTTAGACATTTTAATTCCAGCTGATATACTGGGATCCAGAATGGGTGTCTAATATTTAACTTTCTCAAAATCCAGTTGTTTAGCACTAGCTGAAAATGGGATGTGGATAGGGTATTTTTTTTTATCATGCCTGTAAAAAAAACATTATTGATGTAAAAGTCCAGTTTCATCAGGCAACCGAATAGGTAATTGTGTCCTTATAATAATTATAGGTTTGTTTTATCATGCCAAATAAAATTTCTCTGTTAAGTTTCAAACTAAAATGTAAAAATCCAGGCCTGGCTCTGTCATCAAAACGTATTTGCAATATCATACAGCAAATTTAAACCAGTAAACAGTTTTGATAATTTGTTACTGAGGGGTTTATATTAAAATAACACTTCGTTAGACACATTCTAATTTAGCTGATTACTTTTCCTTCAGTTCAGTAATTGACTGAGCAGTTCTAATGATGCAGTTCAGAGAATCAATATGGATATCTCCCTAGTCTCAAGTCAATGCAAAGTTTTACTTTACTTGTCTAGTCTTGGGGCCCATCAATAGCTGATTTACAAAATCTGTAAAACTTTTTGGGGGATTTATGAAGCTGGAAATTGTAGAAACTGTAAAAAGGGAATTTATTTTTGTTTTCTTTTTCAACAGAGCCAGTTACTAAAATGGGTTATTCCAAGCATCATAACCACTGCAACTCGCTGTAATGATTATGCCAGTAGTACCCTGGCACGTTTTCCCAGTAATGGGGCAAATAGTTTAGCAACATTTTTCCCCCATACCTGATTCTACATCGGCTTTTGATGCTCCCTGGTGGTCTAGAGGAAGATGTCTGGCTTCTGAAGTGGTCATGGTGCTTGGAGTAAACCTTTAATAACCACAATCTGGTGCCCCACTGTAAGGGATCCTTGTATAGATGTGGTAATACACCCTGTAGTTATTAATTAATTTATAGCCTCTCTCCAGCAAAATAGTGTGGAAGGTTTATATCAGAGATTTACATTTGTTGGATTTTCACGAGCTAGAAGTATTCACATGTATCCTATTGTTACATAGTTACATAGTTACATAGTTACATAGCTGAAAAGAGACTTGCGTCCATCAAGTTCAGCCTTCCTCACATTTGTTTTTTGCTGTTGATCCAAAAGAAGGCAAAAAAACCAGTTTGAAGCACAATTTTGCAACAAGCTAGGAAAAAAATTCCTTCTTGACCCCAGAATGGCAGTCAGATTTATCCTTGGATCAAGCAGTTATTACCCTACATTGAAAGATTATATCCTTGAATATTCTGTTCTTGCAAGTATGCATCTAGTAGCCGTTTGAACATCTGTATGGACTCTGATAAAACCACTTCCTGAATATTCTTCTCCTGCCCTATTGTATTCTTTAGAATATCAATCATTGTTTGTCCATAATATACATAGTTGGTGAATTTTAACTGGTTTTTAAGTGTCAAACAAATCTTTGTGTACTAAATGTTTACAAATGTCAATCGTTGCAACTGACTTAAATTGCAATCTGCTTAGGTGCTGCATGAATCCTATCCAGTCACTTGAAAAAATATATATATTTTAAAACACAGCGTAGATTTACAGAGTGAACAATGCTTATTCCCCCCCCCCCCAATCTAAAATTGCATCACTAGCATTTTTGTAATGACCTTCTATAATTGTTATAGTTGTTTTAATTTGACAAGATTAAAGAGGAGCTGTCTCTTCACCAGGATTTTAGTATTGTGCTGCTTATCTCCTGCATCTTGCAAGTTTATGATTGTGAGGTCTGCAAAATAAAATTAAATAGAGCAAGTAACTCAAGACCACTCAATTTTGGAACGGATTGCCTCCATCTTGCCCCTGTCAGTCATTGTTATAGGTTCCGCACTTTGTATCTGTCAATCAGCAGAGAGAGAGCTTATAGAACACTCTCCTAGTGCAATGTCTACCTGTTCAGGGCTCGAACTGCTGAATCTTTAGTATGCATGATTGGGGGAAAAACCAAAGGGATCACACAAAAGTTTAAGAAAACTTAATAATTGTAATCATTTTCAACGTTTTTATACAACAGTATAATTTCCACGGAAGTAACTGTTCCTCTTTCAATGTGCTGTGCTTCTATCTTTGACCGTCATCACAGAGAGTCTGATTTGCTAAGTTTGACATTCTTTGTGACCGTCACTGAAAACATCATAGAGAGGTGCTTTAAGCTTTCATAAAGAATGTAACTCTATGGTATATTGTTTTTACTGTCAGTTATACCAGGGACATATTTCTCCAGCTCCCTAATATGTACAAAGTAGCACTGCAGAACAGACTAGAAAAATAATTTCTGCTAACATCATTAAGAAAAGATAGATGCACATAAAATTACATGTTTATTTAAGAATTGTAAAATTAATTAACATTGCTCTCTCTATAATTAACTTGCACCCAAAAGGAAATAAATTGTACATTTGAAAGCTCTGAAAACCGTTTATGTAATAGATTTTTATGCAAGATAAAATACTGTATTTTCTTTATTCTATATTTTGATATGAGAGAGTCATCGTCCACCGACAACCCGCAACTACTATGAATGGAGCACATTTGATAGGAACAAAAATAGAGGGGTGGAATGAGATTGTAAACAAATAGATGTATATATAAAAAATATGTAAATGTATGAATTATAAACTACTTTGTTGAATAATTGTATTTTTTTGAAGAATTCTGAAAGATTATTAACGAAGGATGCTGCCAGCTTGTTGACCTACTTGATGAGCGTTTATGAACCGCATTGTTTTTTGGTTCACTTGCTAACCTGCTGCAGTTCATGCAGACATTCTGTAATGTTGAACCTGTGTAAACATAAAACTTTTTTTTTCGCAAATTACATATGCGTTGTTAATTACTTCCCACTTTATAGATTCTTTTCTTAACCTGTTCCTTATTAAAGCAGCACTATCATGTTTGTTTTTTTACTGTCCTTAAGCTTTTTTTTTTTTTTTAAAGTTTATTAATGTTCAAAAGAAAAAATAAACAAAACAGATGGTTGTATAGGAAGAGTTATTAGCAGTAGAAAAAGGGAAGTGCTCAAGCCATGGTACAGAACAATGGTGAGACCTCACTTGGAGTATTGTACGCAGTACTGGAGACCGTATCTCCAGAAGGATATTGATAGCTTAGAGAGGGTTCAGAGAAGGGCTACTAAACTGGTTCATGGATTGCGGGATAAACCTTACCAGGAAAGGTTAAAGGATCTTAACATGTATAGCTTGGAGGAAAGACGAGACAGGGAGGATATGATAGAAACATTTAAATATATAAAGGGAATCAACACAGTAAAGGAGAAGACTATATTTAAAAGAAGAAAAACTACCACATCAAGAGGACACCGTCTTAAATTAGAGGGACAAAGGTTTAAAAATAATATCAGGAAGTATTACTTTACTGAGAGGGAAGTGGATGCATGCAATAGCCTTCCAGTTGAAGTGGTAGAGGTTAACACAGTAAAGGAGTTTAAGCATGCGTGGGATAGGCATAAGGCTATCCTAACTATAAATATAAGGCCAGTAACTAATGAAAGTATATAAGTAAATTGGGCAGACTAGATGGGCCGACTGGTTCTTATCAGCCATCACATTCTATTTTTCTATGTCCAGGAAGAGGGATTCAGACAACTTTGTAGGGACCAATACAATGACAGGCTTAGTTCCACTTTGCAGAAACATATATACGGAGACAGCTCTAGACGTTCTGAGGCCTTAGGCAAAGCTTAATTTAAGGTCCTATACTGATGTAAGAATTTAAGAAGTGGCAGTATGTGATGGGTTTGATGTATGTGTTGTTTGTGTGTGATGCATATGATGTCTGTGTATGACATGTGGTGTGCGTGCTGGCTGTGTGATAGCCCATAACCACTACAATCCCATCAAACACTCATCTCGCGTCCCAAACACATTAGTCCACTGGAGTTCTGAAACATAGTCTGGTCCATAAGGCATTTGCTGCTCAGAGAGGTTCCTTAAAGTCAACCTGTAATGAAAAATGTCACTTACCTGCAATCGCTCCCATATACATTGTATTCACCATATATCACAATATGCCAGTTTAGTCCTTCAGTTCTCTGGTTTACAACTTAATCTTTGCCTCACTAGTTACAGTAAGCTTGAAAGAATCCAATCTCCTGGATAGTTTAAACCCGACCTCTGTCAGTGATTTTAATCTTATTCCTCTTGGCACATCAACAGTCCAGGTTTTCCACTCACTCTTGGCTGCCTCCTTGTTAATAGCATTTTTGCCTTGAATTTCCTGGTCTTCAGAGATATACTTGTCCACTTTGTCATTATTTTGTGTAAAATAAATTACTACATTTATAAAAATCCATGTGCTGTACTTGACCTGCTTATCCAGGATTGAGACTTCTGTTGTCCTAGACCCTGGCTTCCTCCTGACTATGCCCTCTGTCTGATTCACCACACGAAGGCTTTTACATCTACCTTGGCCATTTTAAGGACTGGTAAAGTGCCTCTCTCTCCCTTTATCCTATCCAATATTGACTAACTATATTTAGCTACTTTACATAGCCTGTATCACTTTCTATTCCTTAACGTTCTCCTACAGTAGTCTACTGGAGTGCCTAATGCAGGTACCCAGCAATATGTCTGGCTAATGTGGAGTTCTATATATCGCTGAGTAACTGTTTTAAAGAAGTTAGAGACAACTATTAGTGACTTATAGTTACTCAGTTGGAAGTATACACAGAAGAATTGTGTGTGTGTGTGTATATATGTGTGTGTATAGAGCAGACATTAGGCTGTTAGTGTAGGACCTGCCAAAGATGGGGTACATTGACGTTGTGGCAGGCTTATGCACTGTATGATCATATAATGTAACTAAACCCCCATTATTTTTGCCTAGATTAGGTGTTTTTTTAAAAAACAAAATCTTTCAACATTGAAGTTGTTGTTTAGTGGATAGGTGAGTGCGCTGGATCTTGTGTATTATATATATATATATATATATATATATATATATATA